TTTTTTTTTTTTTTTTTTTTCATGTACAGGGGATCAACTCTGAATCTTGCACTTGCGAGGCAGGCAGTGGAACCACAGAAATCCCCGGCCCTTAGGACTTTTCGAAAGTAAAAACAAGCTATGTTACTGGCTCTTTAGAAACATTCTGTTATATTACTCTGACATATAAACATTTGGTCATTTCATTTACTATTTGTGTCATGTTAGTCAAAGCATTAGGAAAACAAGAAATAAACTACATAAGTCTTTAAATCAAAACACATCTCAGTAAAAAATAACAAAACAAAACAGTGAAGTTGAGAAAGGAGACACAACTGATAATTTATTTTTTTAATTAAGTTAGCTGTAATGTTTCAGGATTTTTAAAATCACACAGACCTGGATACGATTCTTAAACCTGCTCCATAGGCACTGTGTGACTTAAGTCATCCAGACCAAGCTTCTCCATACACAGTTAAAGAAATAAGCATAATATATGCTGAGCTTTTTTTTCCTGCCTCTTTAGACATTCACCTATCATAATTTTCCCATCTTATTTTTTTCTCTTGAGTAAGACACAGTAGGTTCATTTGCCTTGCAAAATGGACCTAAACACTAAAATTATGGAAGACTATTGCTTCTGACAGAACACTGGTACAGTAGGGCAAAAGAACAAATATTCTTACCTGACTATCTCATGCCTCTGAGGAGAAAGATGTTGGGGGGGGGGATAATGTCGCCTACAAACAGAAATGCATAACTGGAATTACAGGCTTTTCATATTTCTTCTACAGAAACAAATATCTCCATGAGACTACCATTATGCAGAGGTTTCTAGTGATAATTACTGACTTCTTTCCCTCACAATTCCTTGATGACACTATGAAGAAAAGCTGAATAAGACTGAGAACAAGCTCCAGAAAGTGACAAACAGGAAGTAGCAACATTTCCTTGTGAACTAAACCAACCCAACTTTAAATGACTGTTTTTATCCAAATTCAATCCTATATTTATGGTCTTATTCTCCCAGAAAATTATATTGATTTATATGACTAAGACCAAAAATGCTTAGGAAAATTCAAGAAGCCATTCAGTGGATTGAATCATTCTGAATAGATATATAATACAGAAATTAAATCACTTTTGGGTAAAATATATCAACTATAAATAATTAACCATTTTATTTAGTCCCTTGAAGCATGCCCTAACTTCAATATTTCAAGCAAACATACAGCACTAAGAACTTCAGGTCTGCAACATCAACAGGTTCAGAAATTTTGGTAAATGATGAGCTGAATATTAGAGAACCCTTAAGCAAATATCAGAAAATGAAGTGATATTATACATTTTTTAAATATTTAGTTCACAGGTATAGGCAAGGACTTTCTAAACAGAAACCAGGTGGCACAGGAAATAGCACCAAGAATAAGTAAATGGGATAGTATCAAATTAAAAAGCAAAAGAAACAACCAACAGAGTGAAAAGAAAAATATATAGAGAATGGGAAATATTTTTGCTAGCTATTCCTCTGATAGAGGACTAATATTTGGAATATATATATAAGAACTCAAAAAATTAGACCCAGTCTGGGGATTTAGTTCAGTGGTTCCGCTGCCTGCCTCATAAGTGCAAGGTCCCAAGTTCAAGCCCTGGTACCAAAAAAAAAAAAAAAAAAAAACCCCTCAAAAAAAAAAACTAAAAAAAAAAAAAAAAAAAAAAAAAAAAAGACCCCTCAAAATAAAAGACTCAATCATAAATGGGCAAGTAAAATGAACAGACATCTCATAAAAGTAGTAAAAACAGCCAATAAATACATGAAGAAATAAATGTTCAACACTACTGAGAAAAGCAAATTAAAACAATAGTGAGACTTTATCCCAGAAAGAATGGCCATCATCCAAAATTCAAATAACAAATGCTGCCAAGTTTATAGAGAAAAGGAATCCTTCTACATTGTTGGTGGGACTGTAAACTAGTACAACAATTATGCAAATCAGTATAGAAATTCCTCAAAAAACTAAAACTAGAAATTCCACTTGACTCAGCTATTTTCTTTCTTGGTATTTTCCCAAAAGAGTTAGACATAGTATTACACTGATATATGCATACCCATTTTACTGCAGCATAACCAAAAAGCAAAATCTGTAAGTGACCACCTTCAACAGATGAATGGATAAGACAGAGGTTGTTCATGTCTGTATTCCCAGCACTTGGGAGGCTGAGGCAGTAAGCAAGTAAGTTGCTGCAACTTTGAGGCCACTTTTGTCTACATAGTAAATCCAAGGCCAGCCTGAACTGCATAGTGAGACTGTCTCAAAAAGCTACACAAAACTAAAGAAAGTAAGATGTTTATAAATAATACTATTTTTCTATAAAGAATAAAACATAACTATAGGAAAATGGATGCAATTTGAGGCTATAATGTAAAGTAAAATAAATCAGACATACAAGCTTAAATATCACGTGCATGGTTTCTCATATAAGAAACTCAAACTATAAATGAGCAAAATAAAGGAGATAATAGGAAGTAATTAGATAGATCTTATTCAAATGAGAAAGGGATTAAGAGATGGAGGGAGGAAGAGGAGAAAGGGAAAAAGGGTGAAACAAGGAATTAAGATATTTTTTATTTTGGGGTGCTGGGGACTAAACCCAGGACCTCACATATGTTAGGCAAGTGCTATACCACTGAGCTAGACTCCCAATCCAAGAAGTGAAGATGTGTTTTATATATGTGTGTGTGTGTGTGTGTGTGTGTGTATGTAACAACGCTTCAGAAGGAATGTAAACATTCTGTACTGCACATGTGTACTAATAAAAAATTAAATTAAAATATTTAATGCCTAGAACAAGAAAGGTAATATCAAGGTTCTATGTTGCTCTAGTCAGGAGATACTGTAAATAGTGTGGATGCTGCAGCAAAGGGACCACATCAAAGTACATTAAACTCTTACTAAAGCAGGATGTGGTGATGCATGCCTGTGATCCCAGCAATAGGGAGGCTGAGGCAGGAAGATCACCACAAGTTCAAGGCCAGCCTGTGCTAGCCAGTATGAGGGCAGCCTGAACCACATGGCAAGACCCTGTCTCAAAACAAAAACAAAACAAAACAGAAAAACTCTTACCAAGTATGAGGCAAGAACCAGGCCACAACCAACCTGCTGCCTCAGTCTCCCAGTGCATTGAGGTTACTGGTTTGTGCCACTGTATGCAGCTTGAAGCCACGTTTGTAAATATTATTTTGGTGATTCAGCTATTGCAAACTCTCAGATGAGAAAAGGCAATGGACTGTTCTAGGCAGTAGCAATAGAAACAGAAATGAATGAAAAGCTTTCGGAACAATTTAGAGATACAGCTTATAGTATTTGATGATTTATTAGAGATCCTAGGAAGATTGCATCTATGGCAGGACTTACTGTATCAGTCTAGCCATTCATACATTAACAGTAACAAGAGTAGCAAGCATACACTGAGAGATTAAACCATTTCAGTTTCACAACAGCATGAAATGTATTTCACGAGTACTCCCATTTTACAGATGAGAAACTAAGGTTGGTATCAGTTAATCAATTAATACACACACACATCGAACTAGTAAGAGGTTAGACATAAGATTTGACAATAAGTATCCTAAAACAAAAAGTCTTAACTAAACAGCTGTAAAGAAAAGGCAACAAAGTCCAAGGAAGGCAGTATGTAGTAATGTCCTGAGCCCAGTCTAGTGAAGGGTATCAGAAGGGAGGAAGACAGCTCAGGTAAGGATTTGGCAGTGTCTGAATAACGAGATGTTTTCAAAAAATAAAAATTACCGTTGAATCCAACCCTTAAAGATGGAACCTACAAGTATGCTTTTTAATTTTTTAATCAAAAAGGAAAATCAAAACATCCTTAATAATTTTGCCGCAATACTAAGTTTGGAAGCTTCGGCATTAGATCTCTGAGGTCTTTCCTGCTCTAATACTGTAGTTGACACTATAAATGAATTTCCCAGAAATCAAAGAGAGAGGGAGGGATCCTTGATCCAGGAAAATAGCTATGTATTCACAGTCCACATCGTTTATGGTCTCATTTTTACTAAACGTTTCATCATACGAACAGGGATAGAGCAGCCAACGGGGGAAGGGATGTGGCAACCACGATATGCTGGGTCACAAGTAGGCCTTTTCCTGTTCTTTTCTAGTACCATTATAAGAAGGAAAATGTCCTGACTATAAATAAGGGTGAGGATCCGACTGGGTTATCAAGCGGAGTCCCGTTACCTGGCCAACGATGGATCCCAACATATTCTTTCTACGTGCCATAAAGCGCTACAGGAAACCTCTAGATCGTGACCTTCCTGCTCTGAGGCCAGGTAAATCCAGCCCAGAAAAAATACTGTCAGCTCTGCAATTACACAAAATCCCCTAATCCTACCTGAGGGTCCTCTAGTAAGATTAATCTCTTCTTCAGTGATCAAATAATCCACTCTTCCGTTCATGTTTTACTGCTCGCCTGGCTTCTTCGGGTGGCCCGGGTCTCTGCCCAGGTGAAGGTGAATCAACCCCGGAGCCACAACCTAATAATCACAGCCCTTTCAGCTTCCGCAGCTCGCGGACCGGAAAAGGAAGCCGCAGGCGACTGGCGCGCCGGGAATTCTGGGAGTTGGCGATGGAAGGTTGGCGTTCCCGGCCGCGCACTCTGGAGCGCCTTTCAAAGTGAGCCTAGAAGTAGTTACAGCGGACCTGTTTTACTACTGAAAACAGTTGGGAAGGTGGCAGCGGAGGGACGCTAGTAAAGATTAGAGACATTAAGTAATTTGATATTGACGAGCAATTTTTAAAAAAATCTCCACTTAACCCAGAAAATCTCCACACATACGGAAACAGAAGGAGGAAAACAAAACTCGGTTTTGTTATTATATCAGCGTCAAAACAGACTGGGACTAGCGTCACAGCAATCTGATAAGATTACAAAGTCAAACTGAAATCACACCCTTAAGCCAGACAGTTGCTATCCATTTTATGTATATTATCACGTAGGAGGACTTCACAGCACTATTTACTATTACTCCGGATTTGGTAGTTGACCCCTGGGGTCGCCATTAGTGTTAGTTAATTTATTCAAAGCCAAAACAAAACTTCTGTCTTTCTGGCAAGCCGGTTCTTACAGCTTGGATCAGGGCACTTAGAATAACTCCTTTGGTGTCAGAAAATAAAAGCACTGTCTTTGTTGATACTGACATTTCAAAGCTTTTTTCTAGGACTTTAAGAAAAGGATTCTTGAGCTGGGCTTGGTGGTGCATGCCATCTCAGCACTTGGAAGGCTGAGGCAGGAAGATCATCTCGAGTTCAAGGCTAGCCTGGGCTGCGAAACCCTGTCTCAAAAAACAAAACAAAAACAAACAAACAAACAAAAAAATATATATATAATCTATCTCTATATATATTGGCTCGTATCTGACAGATTTATTTAACTGTTAAAAGTCTACATTCCTGGTTTATATCTGACAAGAGGCTTATTTGACTTTAAAAAAAGATACATACGGAGATAAGGATTATAATTACAAGTTTGGTCAAGAAAATCCTCTGAGAAAAGGGAAAAGTCTCTTTTGACAAAAGGGAAGATTCCATTTTTTTTCTTTCTTTTTTTTTTTTTAACCCGTCAATAAGAATAGTGCTTGACCTACCATGACTTTAACGCAGGTGCCTTGACTTTGGGATAGGACGTGTCATTTCAGACAGCTTTGTATATATTTTTTTCCCAGTACCTGGGATCAAATCATTTTAGAAAGCTTTGAAGGAAACTTTGAGAACAAAAACACAAAAAGGTGAACCACATGTGTGAGATGACACAGGGATTAGGCGGGATATTAAAGGATTAAAAAGTACAGGCCTTCTGTAATGGCGACAATATATAGTCATTCAAATTTAAAAACAAAACTAGCGCCTACTGTGTTTGCCAAACAAAACAAGACAGGCAAATTCCACAGGAAATCCTCTTATTTGCTCACCCTGAGAGAAATCAGCATGGAATAATGATGAACACAGGAGATGAATCTAACAAATTTTAGTTACATCTCTTTCCAGTTGTCTGATTTTGAACAAGTAGCATAACATCTCCAAACTGCTTCCCCATTGACGAATCTAACATTTTAGTTACATCTCTTTCCAGTTGTCTCAGATTGAACAAGTAGCATAACATCTCCAAAGTGCTTCCCCATTGTAGAAAAAGAAGTGTTAATAGCTCATTAGAGGTGTTCAAATGATTCGATGAAGTATAATGATAAGAATTACATTTCTCTGTAGAACTCAGTCAGATTCATGTTACCCTAACTTCTGACCCTCCTCCATATAAATTGGTTAGATGAGTAAATAAAATTATCTTTATTTAAAAAGACAGAAAAAGTGAAAAAAGATAAGTGGCACTGGAATGCCAAGAGAAAAGAAATCAAATAGAAATGAAAAACATTAAGCAATTTGGAATTGAAAACACGGATTCTTGTAGATCACTGGGATGAAAGTCACTACTTTGTACCTTGGAAGATCATCTTCTTGATCTGAGCACACAGTTTCAAAGGACACACATCAGGCAGTGAAAGAAAAAGGAATCATTTAAGTAAGTCTAGAGATGCCATCAATATGTCAAGTGACAGGTCAAGCAAATGGCCTTTATTCCCTAATAGAGGTATCATTTTTAAGACTGAGGATGCTTAACATATAAGAAGGCAGAAAACAGGAAATAGGAGTTTACACTCAGGGAAAACAATTGAAAAAAATATGAAATCAGAATAGTGATGGGGATATTTAGGGAATAGAGAAATGAGCATAGAATCCACAAGGTGATGATACTGATCAAATAGGATAGAGATAGATTTTGAAAGAAGGATAGTACAGATATAAGCACTTAATTTTTTAGGAAAACAATAATATGAAATCAGAATAGTGATGGGGATATTTAGGGAATAGAGAAATGAGCATAGAATCCACAAGGTGATGATACTGATCAAATAGGATAGAGATAGATTTTGAAAGAAGGATAGTACAGAGTACAGA